CGTTTGAATTGAATGTCCTTCCTTAATCAGTTCTTCATGAATAAAATCTAATCTTAATGTCCTATTTCTGGCCCATTGTGACTGAGCTTTTTCTAGTTGTTCTAAAGCTTTATTATGTCTTTTCTGCTCCGAACCTCTCATACTAGAAAATAAAAAATTACTCCCCGAAAAAGCTAGAGCATTTACAATAGCTCCACCGACCATCATCGCAATTGATGCCATAGTTTAATAATATAAAATATTCAAATGTTTAATTAATTACTTCATTATGTCTTCCGGGATAAGTTTTTGTTTGATGAGCATATCTTTTGTAGCCATAGCCAATCCAATATCCAGAATCATCATACCTATATCAAATCCATTAAAATCTAGCTTGGGAGGTGTGGCTTTAGTAATCATTTTAGCTATACGGGCATAGCCAATGGCCAAGCCGGTGACCACCGCTGAATGATACGTTGCGATTACCAACATTTTACCGTCTGTAACTGGAGTAGTCATGCTTCTTATAGCATTATATGAGGGCTAACCTCTAATTGAACTTGTTGTTGCATTGGGGGTGACGTTTTCTCTTTTCCGGTCTTATAAAACAACCATACAGCCGCTATACCAGCAACTCCTACTAGTGCCCATGTTTTAATCGGATTAATATTTGAAATATTTATTAATTTTGCTTTCCTCGCCAGCCCACCCTTTCTTCCTGCCGCTATTTTCAAAGGATTATTTGTCACTCTGGCTTTTAGTATTTTCTTGTTCACTTGTGGTGGTTCCTCATTCACTTGTTGTTCAGCAATCTGTTGTGCAATCTCGTTCACAATCTGTGGTGCAGTTATTTCCTCGTTCACAATCTGTTGTGGTGTCACCTGTTTAGTCTCCATTATTATTAAGTGGGCACGTATGTTTAAATTGACAATACCTAGCCGTTATTAAAGCTGTGGTGAAGGGAGCTAAGAACATTCCGTATCTATGATAAAATTCACAGCTCACTGAGCTTATAGCGTGTTCGATGAATGGGTCTTTCTCGAGAGATTCGCATAAAAACATGAGATGTTCTGCCGGGATAGGGAGAAACGTACCAGCTACGACTGTGTATAGTTGTAATATAGCCGACCCTATCGTTTTAGTCATGGTAGCTCCCAGTCTAGACTCGTAACGCACGTACAGTTTTTTAATTTCTTCGTCGGTCATGTTATCAATTTTTTCGATGGTATAATTTCCCCCCAAATATTGGGAACATTTTCCACCGGCTACCAAAGCCGCGAGTCTTTCTCTATGTTTATCTAAAGATTTATCAACATGTTGATCTGCATCAGATTCTTTGAGCATTTGTTCGATGAGTTCGTCGCATTCCATAATGTAATACCTAAGGAGATATTTAAGTCTAACATAATATAATATGGCATATCCAATACATCCCGTAATAATGAACTGTTGCGAAAGAATGATGATTTTGAACATTTTATGTCATATTAACCGCTTATGTTCAATTTGCTACATTTTACTATAATTTTGCCATAATTTTGCTAAGCAATTGCATAAGCAGCTGGTTGATCGGTTTTTAATACGAGTTTACAGTGCTTCGTTGCCGATAACAGTTTTCTGACTTTATCTCGTTCGAGCTTGGTATAAATGACATCATTTTCGCGTAAACATTCCTCGAATGAATCTCGGTCTTTGCAATGAAACAGTGCTACCCATTTGGTCTGCTCTCTGAGATCTTTCAGGACAGAGTTGTATTTTTGAGTAAGTACCCAAACGCTATGTTGAGTATGCTGTCCGGAGAATGCTAAATACGAAAGCATATCTTTCTTTTTTGTGAGTTCTTTACTCGCGCTACAATCGTCTATTACGAAAAGGGTTGATTCTCCTTTGTATTTTTCGTGACATACTCGTAATCAGACTTGTAAACGATCGCCCGGATCAACTCTGTGTACCCAGTCGTCATTCATAACCCAATCTCTCTATAGGTATGTTTTATTAACGCTTATAGTCGGGCACAGAATAATAATATGATCGAAAACGTCCCGATAATGACTTTGTAAAATATCTAGAATAAAAGCTGTTTTTCCACAGCTGTTTGCCCGCATATGATAGGGCAGTGCGGATCTTTAGGTAAAAGATTATTAATAGATTGCTTGCACGAATCATCCATTCTGTATATTAAGTTGCGCATCCATAATCACGTACAAATATATGTTTAATTTACCAGCCGTTTCCTGGAGCTTCGTTATCTGTATAGTAACACCCTCGCTAGCATTTTCTATTCTCCTCCCACTGCCGTGTAATTGGCCATCGTCCGTGGTTCGCATGTCCAGCCATAGCGCGTACTTCGTGGTGAGGTATTCACCCATCGATACATTCCAGAGAGACAGATCTTTCACGACCGCGATAACTTCCGGGCTTCGTTTTATAGAAGGAAGTTTTTTAATCTCATCCCACTGGTGATACGCTAGCATTCCTTGGCTATATAGTTGATTAGGAACGCCCTCGATAGTCAATTCTACTTTTGTAATCTTGGGATTGTAGAACTTCTCGGTATTTCTTTTAAACGCATCGGAGGGGTCCTCGAACAACATTAAAATACCCTTCAACGACCTCGTGGGGACGTTTAGATTGTTATTCCACATTGTATCTTTTTTGTCGCAGCACGCAATCGTACAAAATGGCTAAACTTCCTGTATAATGGTTACGAATTTGTCTGGCTAATTCGGGATCCGTTATCATATCGTACTCCAGCGAGATATTGTCAATGGAATAGCTAGCATCTTCACCAGATCTGATTACTCTACCGTAGTCATTAAAAGTGAGTTCGTATTCTAACCTATCGCCTAGGGATGCTTGATAAAAGGGCATGTGGGAATCTAGTAATTCAAAGTCTAGGGGATTATAGAATCGGTTACCTAATGCGTCGGCAAAGGCCTTATCTTTTTCCTTGGTACCAACACCATTTTCAGCGCCCACGCGCAGTCTCAATGTGTTCTTATTACAAATACCTTGGTACTGTAAGTTTTCCCGCTCTTTATCCGTTCTCCAGAGATCCATGTAGCAATAGTATACATCGCTATCGTCGATACTCAAAACCTCATTACCGCTAATTTTAATCGCGATTTTCTTAACGATAGCACGACCTATGTTCTGAACGGGCTCCCTGTTAACGTCGGCAGAAGTCAAACTAATCATAAATGCTAGTCGGACAGTTCCCGGAACTAACACATCGTGTGCGCCGAGATTAGGAAAGCGAACCAGAAGCGTTTGATTCTGATCTATGGTACTAGGGTTATTAGTTATAGTTACAGACTGACGAATTGCTTTGACCCCTAATGGATCTCAAAGTCTACGTTGTGGGTTTAACTTGCGTCCGTATTGCGAAGACATTGTTATATTGAAATTATATAACCATATGTTTAATATAAAAATGACTGATATTGGTCTAGATTATTTAGATAACCCGAATCCAATCGAAGAGGGTACTGATGAAACCAGCTTTACGAATCTTAACGATGAAATATCACAATCAACCGTAAATGATGAACTTTTGAAACCAGCCGTTGATGATTATTACGATTCCTGTAAAGATGATAGTCGTATTGTTCGTGAATATTCAAAATTTACGATAGATAGTAAAGGAATATTGCGACTGCGTGGCGCTCCGGATATTGACCTGATGCATTATCGTACTCGTAAGCCCCTAGCCTTGTCTACGATAGCAGCTAAACATGGCATAAGCACTGTTCGTTGACTACTCACCGCTTTCCGCGAAGACTACTAAGGCTCTTCGAACTACGCGTGATAAACTCGTTAACACAGATAATTTGGAAGCTTCCTCAGTGGTGGCCTTGGACGGACTCAAAGAAATCTTGTGTACCTACTACGATAATTCCACGGTCAGTGTATCACCATACCCGGAGTTCAGTATTAGGGAATTACGAGGTCTTGACAAGGCAATGCGAACAATGCAGGGAGAACTCACCAATAATATGGCCAAGATATCCGAAATCGACAAGCATATCGTTTAGGAGAAAACAAAACTTGAACAGGCGGGCGATGAATTCAGCAGATGCCGCGTAGCGGAAAGATTGCGTAACTTAGAAGAGGAAAGATTGGCCCGCCTCGAAGATGCTTCCAGTAATAGAGAGGCACTTCGAATTCGAGAAACTATCTATCGAGTCCTCAACGATGACACTACACTGGCCGATAAAATTAAAACATTGTTCAGAAACAGGGAATAACAATTGCCAGTATTTTAACCGCGTTGGGATTTATTATATCGACTTTGACTCTCGCGTTAACCGGTGGTACCGGTGGTAGTGGCGGATCACCGCCTACGTCGGATGGTATAAAAGAGTGGATAAAAAAGCATTTAAAAGCATTAGGTTCAGCACTGGGAAAGCTCGCTGAGAAAGCCGCGGCCGCACTTTCCGGTATAATATGGAGTGTTGTTTCCTTGCTATTGAATTTATTAGCTAAGACCACCACTTGGCTTAGTCAAAACTTGTGGGCACTGATCGTAGCAATTGCAGGGCTGTTGTACGTATCCGCTAAAGACTATTTAACCAAATCAGTTCGTTAACCAAATCATGAGTAAACCAGCCGCGACTCCACCTACTACAAGCACTGTTTTTTCATCGATATGTTGTTGATTTTTAGACGCAGTATGCGGTGACACTTGTGCGTCAGTAGATGGTGGAAACATGTGGTGTTTGCGGCTTGACTATTCCCTTTTCGCCTGTGATTGTTTGCGTTATTAATTCGACATTAATATCTGAATTTATACCTGGTTTTTGTTGATCGGTAGCAATAACAATTTTATTATTATAACCGATCACTTGGCCGATCTTAAGTTTGGTATTACTCGGAGACATGTATAATCCCAGCGCATAAACGTAGTCTACTTTGGATTGAGCGTCCTGTAATACATCTTGAAAACGTTTTATAGACGATGGTATGTCTGTAGCAGAATATGTGTGTGCATCGATAAATGATGTCAAAAACACAGCTACGGGAGTGATTCGTTTATTAGATGACGAGTGGTATACCCTTTCGTTCACACCCTGAAATGCACAATAACACTCAATAAGAATCTTGTAAATTATGACAATTAAAATGAGAACATGATACTTCATTAGGATTACCTTATACATATATAGAGGATATGTATACGTCAGAACATGATACATCATTAGAATTACATTATACATACATATAGTATATGCATACATCAAATCAAAATACTTCTTATTGGTGTAAAACGTGATCAATAGATAAACATAATAATAATAATAATATATATTTACATGTGGTGATAAGTAAACATACCAGAAGTATGGCCTCTAGGTGTAGGTTACACTTTAGCCTGTCATGACTACATGGTCAGGGCTACAGTGACATCAAAGTACCTATAAATATGGAAGTTATTCAAATGTACAATAAAACTAGCTTCCTTACACAATGCTCTTGCACGTGTGGACATTATTATCAAATCAGTGCTATTGTTTATACATATTTACAGATCTGAACACAGCACTACCCTAAAACACAATAAATTACTAAACATCCTAAAACTATCATAAATGTCAACACACTTACAATACATTTAACACATATAGGATAATAGCCTCATAACATAGTCAAACAACACTCTGTCCAAGAGAATCAGACATTGACTAAATCTCACACACATCATAACAAATACCTTATTTAACGTACACCTATTTATATAATCATATTTATGAAAAGATAGATTTATATATGTTTATGTATTAAATTGGAAACATACCTTGCCTTACAAAATCTGTAAAATGTGTCCACTTGCTGTCGCCTGTCAGTGACTTGTCTGTGTAGTGACTGAGGTGCAAGTGAGGGTTAAAAAGCATGCAAAGCTGACCCTAAGGAAAACAATAGGGAACCACTCAACCAGAACATTTGCCCTGGCTGACACAAAGGAGCTGATAGGGTAGTGACTGACCCAAGCATAACTAAGTTAAACGGTGTTGTATCAAATCTTCATTAAAATCCATAAAACCCATACTGCAAACTAATACTAAATACTAATTCTAAATACTAATATTAAATACTAATACTAAATACTAATATTAAGGATAAATACTAATACTAAATACTAACTACACTATGTATTATATACACTATATACTAATACTGACACAAATAACTAATGCTAATATTAATAATAATACTAACTACACTATGTATTATATACACTATATACAACTGGTATATTACTGGTTAGTTGACAGTTAAACAAAACCTGTAACTGCCACATGTCAACTGGTGAATTAATGGCGTCCTCCACGTTTGCGACAAACTGTTTTTGTGCATCTAGCGCCGTCCCAGAACCGATAATGGAAGTTCGTGTTTGCGATTGTGCACCGAGAATTGCCTATACATAAGTTCTTATCGATTCATTAAATCTTACAACTCCTGGGTTAGTAAAATTATTTTCTGTTTTATCATTAAGAAATTCATTCCAAGCGTTTGCGGTATCGTTCAGTTGTACAAATTTTGTAACAATATAAGCCAAACCACCCTTAAAACTCATAAGAGAACCTCTCCAATCGTTACTCGAAAGTTCCCAGCCATGATTAAGATTATGCAATCTTACTAAAAGAGTGTCTTTCTGTAAGAATTTAAATGGATTGAATGGTTGATGAGTTTTTTTAACTAAATCATCGCTGACTTCTTTAACAGTTCTTTGTCCGCTGTACGGAAAACCTAGACCATGGTTTGCTCCTTTAATACGCCAATCTTTACTCGTAGAAACATTAAATTCAATACAAATACTTTCATATGCGGACCTATCATAATTATCATTTGTGGAATTCCACGCTCGATCCTGCGGTAATGGAGCATTAATTTCTTTAAGTATACGTCTAATCTGATAGTACACGTGGAATGTTATAACAGACTTATTTAGCATAAATCCTGGGGAATAAAGAGATACGCCACATCCTGTTGTGGCACACCATATGGCAAAGTTTAACTGATTCTGCCAAAATTGCATCGGATTGTGAAACCAATCGTGCACCATTTTATCGCTAGTTGCCGTGACTCTGTACTTTTCAAAGATATTGTGGAATTTAACGAAAAATTCAGCACCAGAGGCAGTTACTATAATCGACTGATTAGTAATGTATCTCGATTTCATATTTAAGTTATGATATAGTATCATTGTATATTTAATATGTATGTTACACTCCCGGGTATAACAATTGGTCAGTCTATTGAACTGCTTCATACTATCGATAACTCGGATGGACAACTCGAAGTAAATCTATGCGATGTAATGTATTACCCATGGTGGACCAATATAAGTGCTGCGAGAAGAAATAATGAGATGTTTATACCAGGTGAAAACAGTGGTATTGGCAAATTCATTACTATACCTGATGGGTATTACAGCGTATGCTCACTCAATGATGAAATTTTTATGCCTAATGGAATTAGTATCACACAAAATGAGTCGAATGGGACAGTGAAAATATACACTGGAGAAAAAGGTATAGTTATTGACGAGAACTTAGCAATTACACTTGGATCTGGACAGACAGTAACATTACCACCCAACACAACAGTGACTGTATATGCATTACCCGATTTAGTTCCCTATAAAGAGTTGTGCATCCATCTTGATCAAATCAGCACGACGGATAATATTCAACTAGAAAGTCCTTCAACTCTGCTCAGATGTATTACAGTCAAAGATGAAAAATATAATAGCGGTAGAACAGAATCTTTCTCAACATTACAATATAAAATATTAAAGTGGGGTATTATTTCAGACCTTAAAATTTCTGTATTAGATGTAAAACACCAATCTGTACATATAGGATACTTAAGTGTAACACTCCATATTACAAATAATGGTTGATTCCATATTTAAGTTATGATATAGTGTCATTGTATATTTAATATGTATGTTACACTCCCGGGAATAACAAATGGTCAGTCTATTGAACTGCTTCATACTATCGATAACTTGGATGGTCAGCTCGAAGTCGCTCTCTGTGACGTAACGTATTACCCTCGGTGGACCAATATAAGTGCTGCGAATATAAATAATGGGGTAAATTTATGAGGTGAACACTATAGAATTATTAGCGAAATTTTTTATACCTGATGGGTATTACAGCGTATGCTCACTCAATGATGAATTTTTTAAGCCTTTGGGAGCTAGTCTCACACAAAATGAGTCGAATGGGACAGTGAAAATAGAAACTGGAGAATTTTTTTTATTTCTTTACGATGCCTTAGCAATTACACTTGGAATTACACCACTCCCCGAACATATAGAATTCAACATAACAATACATGGAGATACATTGCCCAATTTAGTTCCCTATAAAAAGTTGTGTATCCATCTTGATCAAATAAGCACGACGGATAATATTCAACTAGAAAGTCCTTCAACACTGCTCAGATCTATTCCAGTGAAAAATGAAAAATATAATAGCGGTAGAACGGAATCTTTCTCATCATTACAATATAAAAAATTAAAGCGTGGTATTATTTCAGACCTCAAAATTTCTGTATTAGATGTAAAACACCAACCTGTACATATAGGATACTTAAGTGTAACACTCCATATTACAAATAATGGTTGATGCATCAGGCCCTGGAACGCTCAGACAATGTAATACAATTGCGCTTTCCGATCTCGGAGACACAGAAGGATTCGGTAAACCCGGTACCGATGGTAAGTTATACGCTTTACACTTACACGATAATGTATACAAGCGGAAAGAAGTTACATTCACGGGTAATCTAGAAGATTTAAGCGATGTCAACGTTGTTAGTAGACTCCTTAAGAAAAACACTTCGTACAATCTTACTCACAACGATGATAATAAATGGACTATGGTTGAAACAAACATCGAGTGGCTACTGAATATCGTCATTACCCCACCTTATGCGATGATGGGTAAGGCACATAATTAACTAAGATAATAAATAGTGGCATCATACTCGCGGCTTATATTCCATCAAAATGAAAAAGTGTGTTAGTCTCTCCCCTGCCAGAAAACCCAGGTCATATGTTATATAGTCGTCCGGCAATCGAAAACGTTAGTTCAAATTTGGTTACTGAATTCAATGAAATTAAAGTTAACTTGAGTGCAATACCTAATCTTTCTACTCTTATTATTGAAGTCTTGTTCGGAGATGTACCAGTAGATGCCTCCGAAATATTACCAGGTCTATCGATTAAATAGCTCAAGAAACACGAGCGTCAACGTTGCAGTATTATTCATATCAGAGCATCGCCCGTTGCAACCCTCGAGAGGGTCCAAATTATTAAAAGTGGTAGTATTTCTCTTACTAAGATATTCTTGCCGTATAATATACATTTGATAAGATTGATGTATACTCTCAAAACATTTAAGCAAGACCAATTAAAGACTATTATATGACCATAATATACACTATGGGTTTATATCCAGCGCTCGATGAAGCATTTGAAAAGATGGAAACTGTTGATGGATTTCGATTACATCAAATAAGCGACATAAAACATCGAATAGAGAAGGATAGCGAGTTGAGACTTGGATTGTATAAAAAGTATCGCAGAGCCGTGAATGCTCTGGACGGAGTTGACACCGCACTTGTAACAGCTGGCATGGGACTCGGTGTAGCAGGTGTTGGTTTATTATCAACTATAATCGCCGTGCCTATCGTGTTCGGCATGGAAATAGCCGCTGGAGTCTCGGGACTGGCAGGAATAGCGATAAAATTCATTTCTCGTAGGTTGCAAAAGAAAGCATTAAAACACGATAAGATTTGGATACTCGCCGAAGCAAAGTTGAACAGCATTGAGGATCATATTTCGACAGCAATGGCCGATTGTAAGATATCCGAGGATGAGTTTCGTTTAGTGCTGTCGGAGCTCACCAAATACAACGCAATGAAGCAGGAGATTCGATCAAAATCTCATAAGACCAGTAGTAGTATAGGTAATAGGGGTTCTGGACCACTTCCACTGGAGCCAGATTTATTACCTATACTGCTACTACAGGGGGGATTTTTTATGCCAAAATGATTATGCGATTTAACGATAGTCATGAGATGTATTAAACGAAACATCAATATTAATTAATAATGAATAAAATTTACTATAGCCCACGAGGATATTGGAAAGGTGTAGGAGCAATAAAAAAATTAGCCACCGTGGCTAAGGTATCTAAAGATGTGGCTAAGGATTGGTTAAAGAAACAAGCGATGTGGCAAATATACTTACCGGCACCGCGTTATATACCGAGGAAGAAGTTTGATATTTTTACAACGAATGAAGTTCATCAGGCTGACCTTTTGTTTCTTCCCCACGATAAGGTAAAACGCAAAACGTATAAATACGCTTTAACGGTAGTGGATGTGGCTAGTCGATATAAAGAGGCTGAGCCATTAACCTCGAAAGAATCAACAGAGGTAGCTAATGCACTGAGTCGCATATATAAACGCGGACCGCTAAAATGGCCTTAGCTATTTCAAGTAGATCCCGTCGCAAGTTTATGGGATCGGTAACTAAACTATTAACAAAGAACGATGTCGAAATCGTCCGTGGTGAAAGAGAGGCCCACCGCAGTCAAGCTATCGTCGAAAGATTTAACCGGACATTAGCGGAACGTTTGTTTGGCTATCAGTATGGGATCGAAATGAAATCCGAGCCATTGAGATCAACCGAATGGGTGACACGATTATCAGCCGTTGTATCAGCGCTGAATAATGAAGTAACGAGATTAATAGGGAAGAAACCATCCGATGCTATTATCCGTGACTTCCGAATCTTCAGCACCGAGGAGAGGCAAAGAACGAAAACTTCCGGATAGAGTAAGGGTAAGATATTTATACCAGGCAGGTGAACTCAAAAGAGGCCTACGTCGCGCAACCGATCCCATATGGTCCCTTAAGACGTATAACATTAGTCGATTGGTTATGAAAGAAGGAGAGCCTATTCTTTATTATCTT